TTGTGTCATCACACATTAATTAAAATCCTATGTTAACAACATAAGTATTTTAAAATGACAACACTTGCATGAATTATTACATAAACATATCAACTGCCCACAACTTTTAAATAAAATTAATATATCAGTGCCAAATAAGTTACCGCGCTTTATCTAAGGTTTACAAGCTGTTCAAAGAATTTCGCTATAAAAGTAATTTGTGTCGCAACTTCCCACTTACATAAATGTTGTCATAATACAACCATATACCAGAATCAACCTACACATACATTTCTCAAATATGCCATAACAGTATATATATTTTTGTATTTATATAAGTATATATATTATAGACTAAGCATTAAATCTACAAATTGTAGCTGTAGCGAATCTGGTTTTAATGTAACTAAATGTTTATAAGCTTATTATTATCTGTTTCTTTTTTATAATTCACGTCTCTAAAATCTGTGTAAGTTGTGGTTACCTGTAAGAGAATGAACAGGTTACACGTAACCCTCGCAGTGTTGGGTCATATTTTTGTCTCTGTGTTGTGTGGCATCTGCTGGTGATCCAAATAAAACATAAACATTCACGCTTGTCACCCAGAGCGGTAGCCAGAGACTATGGACTCCTATTTGGCACGATCCTGACACCCCCTCTCGCTTCCTCCACGTCCAAATACCTACGCACACACGCTCGTCGGTTAAGGGTACTCTTAATTTGGCCCATTTTCAATATATCGCCAATTTGGTCGATAAACTTTCGCCTAGGGCGTCCTTTCCTGACTCTGTCGTCCAAATAAAGTGATCCAAATAAAAAAGAAAAAAAATTACCCAGGTTATAGTGCTAAGGTTTTCCAGGGACTTTGCCATAATGGTTCTATCTTCGACCAATCAAAGGTAAAGTGATACATTCACCATTGATGTTAATACCGTATCCTTTCTAGTTTAGTAGCTTTACAACATTTCCAGTTGCAGTTCACATCATCCTGTCTTACATTTCTCTGTAGTTGGATATGTTTTTCGCTCTGTTGGATAGATGTCGAAGCGTTATTACTACAAGTCTTTCCGAATATCAATACACATTTTCTTTTTATTTTACCTATTAGGAAACCAGCTTATTCGGGAGACTGGAAGTCTCGAATCTGCGTAACAGACGATTCGTAATGACTACTTCAAAATAGCACATCGAGGCCTCTTAGAAAGGAAATCTATTTATCGTTATTTAATAGACTTTATCGCCTTTGTTGAGAAACCAAACTACTACATTTCGACTTCACGACTTCGGCGTAGCACCACCGTGATGGACGGACTTCAAATAGATTTTGAAGGACTTAAGGTATCTTTATGTTATACTGTAGGTTAACTACGAGGACTTAAAGTAATATAGGTTTACTAACCGCTTTCAGAAAATCACTGACAGAAAGTCGTCGGGGAATTATTCCAAAACTTTCGCTGAGCTCATTGAAAAAGATGAAGCAAACCGTTTGGTTCTAATTCGTGAAATGTAGGCAACAAAGGGGTGAAGACCCGATCGTCTGATTGTCCGACGATGGAAAGGAGAAGGGGGAAATAGGGCATGTAATTAAAAACACTCTCTGAAACTCATCCTATAAAATACCGAGACGTTGGCTACTCTGCGCCTGTGCTCGAGATTGAAGATTTGTTTCAATAAAATGAAGGTTACCAATGAGGCACTGAACACGTCTCTCCTCCGAATCCAACGCTGCTAGGTGGAATTTTGTAGAATCGGCCCAAATGTGATAGCAGTACTCCATGTACGACCGGACTTGTGCCTTATAAAGAGTAAAAAGCTGCCCCGGCGTGAAGTACCGCCGCACTCTTGCAAGGACACCTACATGTATTCCTTCCTGTGGACAAAACTTGGTTAGATTAGAAAAAGCTAGCATTTTATCAGATATCATGGAAGCTTAAAGCTGAAGCTGCGGCTCCAAGAAAGCGTGTGAAAGAGCTTCATGAAAAACGTTCATGTTTTTAACAGCATAACTCACGAATAGCTTTTTCGAAGTTTTCACTCGAAGGCACAGATAAGTAAGTGGACTAATTTGATTTCTTGAATGTGTTTGTTGAGTGGGCAGAACGATCCGTTGTATAAATTCCATGTATCGGATGTTCTTTTCTTTGAAATAGGTAGGTCGTATAGTTGGCATCCAACTTATTCAGACTTGAATTCGTGGCAAGAGCCGTTGTAGTTTAGGTAATAAGCGTTTACCCTTAATTTGCGGGCGAGCACGCCGAGTTCGATCACTGCCAACACCAATGAAATTATTAATTTCAATTTATAAATGTCGCAGCTTTTCCCAAGAATATTGTGAATTCACGGGGATATTACGTCACCCTGTCTTACAGCTCTCTGCAGTTGGCTAGGTTTCGAACTCTAGTTCTGTACTCGGATAGTCATCGTAGGCCTACTGTACAAACACTTCATCACACTTCAGCAGATATACTGACATTCCACTTAGCACCGCTGAAGGGACTGCAGCACCACCCAAATTTCGACGGAATCAAAGGCTTTGCTCATAGTCCACATACGCAAAATAAGGCGGCAGATTTTACTCTTCGGTCGTCTGAACAATTTGCCGAACAAAAAGCGAGGCGGACACTTTGTTCCTTGGCCTAAAATCCTCTCAGGAATGAAAGGGGGCCAGTGTCCAGCTGATGGACATTAACATAGGCTATAACTTTTACTTTTTTATGTGAATAACTGCCAAAATTCATCATTTCTTAAAATCACAATCGCAACAATGTCTATTTGTCCACTGTATGGTAATTGTGAGAAAATAAAATTCTTTCTTTTGTGCATGCACTGTAATATTACCACGTTTTCAAATTACTAAGGCGGAAAAATTATCATTTACTTTCAAAGCTTTTTTTTAATATTTATTATTAAATTAAGAAAATTGTACTTAAAAATTTAAAGTTAAAGTTACAGCCTATATACGTTCCACTGCTGGGCACAGGCTTACCCTCATTTCTGAGAGGGTTTTAGGGCAAGGAAATGTCCGTCGCGCTGCCCAAATGCGTATTGGCGAACTTCATATGTCTTCGAAATTTTTTTTCTTATTTCTCACTCATGAAGGTTTCCTCACGATGTTTTCCTTCACCGCCGAGCACGTGGTAAATTTGCAGTTAAAATTGCAATTAACAATTTCATTGCTGACGGCGGCTGAGCGCTAACCATCTGAGCTACCACGGCTTTATTTTTAGTAGTTGCTCCGTTGTTTTACCTAACCTTTTTTTATATTTTGTTGATAGAGCATGCCCGCTTAAATTTTACTGTTTTCGAGCAACTCGAATCCTACTCTCGCCGTGACTACGTAGTAATAATATATTATACGTAATTATTCTCAAAATTATTTAAATAAAAGAATATTACTCGGTAACAATCTTTCTTTACATTTACCAAAAGCCCCAAGGGGCATAATAACGGCTAACTCTTAGAATTACCGACTGATCCGTCTTAGTTTTTTTTTTTGCGCCTAGAAGCAATGGAAAGGGCTACCCTCCGGGAAACGAGGAAGGGAGGTGGTGAATGCTCTAAGCATACCACGACAGCCGGCTGCGTGGTTATGCCCACATAACCACGTCCCAAACCACTGCGAAACCTAAGTGCCTACCCACTAAACAAGGAAGCGACCCCCTTTAGGAAAAAGGGGGCGCAGAGGAAAAGGGGCCGCAGATAGAAAATGGGGCGCAGTATAGTCGCCTGCGCGATAATTTATACTGCTAGGACGGAACAGTTATAACCTCATTTCTTTGTATTTTCTTTTATTTTTTACCCTCATTCCTAACAATACTATATTCTTTGCCGTGGCTGTCGAAACTGTTAAGTGCAATTCTAAGTTTGAAGTTCAGATACGAGTATATTACGTATTAACTTGAGAGTGAAGGTGTAATTTTGGAGAACATTTTACCTAAGCATGGTAAATTAAAAATTATTAATTTTTGTTGTATGTAATGCCACAGATATTTCCTCTACACCTATATATTCTGTTACCTCACAGAAATTAAACGAAATGAGTGCTAGCAGTAAGACGTTCATATGCAAACTTTTATTTGTATATATATCACACTTCCGGTTAATAACTAGTCCATGTTATCGTTTTATACTAAAAAGTATTGATGTAAGTTAAAATATGAATATCACAATAGTATGTTAATGAACTGTCCTGCAATACCTTGAGAGATGGCAACATCAGCTTGCAGCGTAAGGGTGTTTGTGCACTACACGGTAACTCTACTGTACGGAGTGTCATGCAAGCGCCCATTGGTAGCACGAATGTACTCTAGTGTACTACACATAATTTTACTGTCCGTAATATAGAGGCTCTCCGTGGTGGAGTGTTGCTATTTCAGTGTCAAGTTTGCGAAATCAACCTTCGAGACAGTCTCTTATTCAATGTAAAAACACTTGAGGACATTAAACACATTTAATTTTATGTACACGATCAATTACGAATTAGTATAAAATTACGTTTATTTTTATTTTTAGTCGTTATAAAAACACGCTGCTGCCCGTCTCTTGGCTTGTTTCCCTCTGTCGCCTCTTACAACACCCATGGGTTACTTTTATTTTAGACGTTTTTACAGCTTAATTATACAAAATAGCAAAATATGGGCTTAAGGGTTTTTAAACAACAAATGGTAGCACTGTTAAATTCGGTCAGAAATGTCAAAATGAAGAACTCGAGAGTAAAATCATACCTGACCACACACGATCTTGCATATTGAATAGTGGTGGTTCGTTATGTCAGACCGTGAAAAATGAAAATGAATATACGTAATTTTACTGTATAGTGCATAAGCGCCGTTAGTTCATAAAGTTATACAAGCGATGTGTACAAGGTCTGGTTTCGGTCAGAACTGGCCGCTTGCTTTGGTTCGTTAAAATCGCGAAGCGCGCCACACGCATGCGCGAGTTGGACGCCGCTCTAAGTGTTTACGTAAATAAAAATATCTCTCGCATGAAAAACTTCTTGGATGCTAATTACTTAATTAATAATGGGGTTCGTTATGTGGTCTCGGATGCTAATATTATGTGGTGAGTAGATAACATTTTCAATTATTTATAAATTACAAGTAAAATCATACGAAAAGTAAAAATTTTAGAATGGTTTGAAAATTAAATTAGCCGTAAGGTATATTCCTTAATCTATCTTCTTCTTCATTTTTTTAATTTAATTTTTACACCAATATATATAATAAAAAGCTTAAAATAAATTTTAGAATGGTTTGAAAATTAAATTAGCCGTAAGGTATATTCCTTAATCTATCTTGTTCTTCATTTTTTTTAATTTAATTTTTACACCAATATATATAATAAAAAGCTTAGAATAAAAATTTAATATCTGGTTACAATTAAAAATATGGTATTATAAGAAGCACAATCAATGCCAATGCATTCGTCGATAAAATTACCGCAACATAGGTAACGTAATTTACGTGCAGTAAAGTTGTATCTAGGTCCACAAATAAATTTTACCGTAGTAAGGGCTCAGCACTGCCTTGTGCTCGTTCTCTATTTCTTGTTGCTGTCGCTTTTCATGTATGTACTTTGTACTTTCATCGAATTTCAGGGTCATCTTTATATATATATATATATATATATATATATATATATATATATATATATATATATATATATATGAGTATATAATATGTAACTTATTAGTATGTAAAACAAAACTTTAAACAATTAATAAAAAGAAGAGTAATTTCTCAGTGAATTTTCTATAATCAGACTAAGCTGAGAAAATGTAATCTAAATATATTTAAGTAAAATTGAAGTGTCTGTCTGTATTATCTAAAAAACTGCCTTGTTTTGAGCTGATTATTTGCACGTTATTTGTGTGACGTTAAGATATTAATAACCATTTATAAAAACTTCCGTCTGTATGTCCGGGCTAATCTTCATAATGGCTGAACCGATTATAACCAAACTTCACGCATAGATAACTAGGAGGCTATATTTTATCTGAAAAACTTGATAAAATAAATAGTGTTTGCGATTATTTTAAATCTAAATAACGCCACATTATTTTTCTTTATATTCTTACTATACCTACTACCTACTCACATACCTAACTACTTACTTAGACTGTATTTTGTACTTAATATGCTGACTTAAACTTAATTATTTAGCATCAATTCAAACCTCCGTGGTTGTGACCTATATCTGTATTATTATTTTTGATCTAATAAATAAATAAAAAAATAGATCCCACCCAGGCGAAGCCGGGGCGGGTCGCTAGTTTACTCTGCCTTGAGTAACCGACTACAGTTTTGTTCTTACCTACTTTAAGTACCTTGAGGTGTCCTAATTTGTAGTGATCTAAATATGAGATTGACGATGGTAGGAATCAAATTTTATTTTTCATTTATTTTCTTTTCTTTTAATATTTTTTTGATGTTATCCTTATAAATTCAACGTAACTTCAACTTTTAGTGATAACAATAAGCGAATAAGAAAATACGTAACACAAGTTGATATTACAAGCTCCATATCAAAACTCATTGTTAGAATTACAGTCCCACACTTGAATTTGTGCTACATGTCAACACAGTCATGTTTTGTTTGATATAAGACCTTGAGCCTCATTTGAGCTTTATTTCCCCCCTAAAATAGTTTTAAATAACTGTCACAAGAGTGTAACAATGAATTTAAATTCTACAATTCGTTTTGAATGTTAAACCTATCTTTTAAAAAGCAGTTACCGTCGTAATTTTTTTATTCATCTTCTTCATTAGACCGCAGCAAAATTATCTGTTGGCTGTTGCTTGTTTGATCTGATCTAAAATCTAAAGGAACTGGGGGAAGCGGGAGGTCTATGTTCAGCAGTGGACTTTTCTAGACTGTAATGGAGGGTAGTCCAAAGGAAAAATAATTTTCGGATAGTCAGTTATAAAACAGAAATAACTACTGCCCTTTCAACCGTATAGTGACGATGTAAGAATATCCACAACTCCAAATCCCGTGGACGTCATAAAAAGGACAGAGGGAAACAAACCAGGAGATGGGCAGCAGCGTCTTCCTAATAACAATAAAAAATAGACAACTGCGGTTGCCAACACGCAAGCAAAGCGTGACAAATATCCTCATATGAGGCAATCTATGGGGTAGGCCTATGGTCAAAAGTGGACTTTTGAGATGCTGTAACGGTAACGGTAACCAACGTACTTTAAGAAGTCATAACGTTGAGGGGGAGGGACTCTTTAGGTACACACTTGATAGTAATTTTCAAGCTTCGCTTTTATGCACTTCGATGTAGTATGAATAAAATAATTATGTACATCTATTAATTAGCAATCATCTACATCATCTATAATTATTGTTTAATCTGGTATAAAAAGTTGATAATTCTTAGCAGGTATATTTACGATATTACGGATAAAAACGTAACAATATAATGATCTTTACGTTGTAATTTTAACGCATAACATAACAATGCCACGAATAGTATAACAGTCAAAGGTTTTAGACGTCTGCTTTATCTAGAATAACAATATATACTGGAGAATACTAAAAGGTAAAAGCGCCGTTCGATCGCCAATCCGTCGGTCAATTGAGCAAATTACGGCATTTTCCTTATTGGGGAAATTTAGGATATACCTAGGAGGTATATCCTAAATTTCTATTTTAACAGTGGTAGAGCCACGCGGCAGCTTTTGCTGTCGCACGGATGGGCCGGCTCGAACCGGGGTAGTACCACGACCTCACAGAAAACCAGCGTGAAGTAGAGGTTTACCTTTGCGTTTCGCTTGCCCTTTTAGGCCCTTTTTACTGGAAATGAGGCATTCCATCTTAGTCCTCACGGGTGACAACGCATGTACATTTTGATTTGTAACAGAGGATAGATGTAGATGTCTATGGGCCGCAGCAACCACTTACCATCAGTTGGACTGTGTGCTCGCATGTCACCCTTATCCTATAAAAAAAAAAAAGAAAAAAAGGTGCTTATCTTCAGCAGTGAACCGTCCAAGCCTGATGGAAAAGATGTTGGACGAGGATTATATGATCCATCATCTTTGTATCGTCGACCGTATATATGCGATGTTATTAAAATTAAAATTAACAAAAACAAAATAATATGTTACTAAATGAAAAAAAAATTATGGCAGATATCTGAGTTACTTAAGACTTCATTCAGGATACTTATTATTATACTTATTCTGAGTTACTTAAGACTTCATTCAAGATACGATTTGCACAAGAGATATTAAAGTTTAGCAAATTCACATACCCGATTACAAATTACTATAGAAGTTGTGTATGTTGCACTTATTGATCGCAGAGAGCTATGAAAGCAATGTCAAAGACAAGGTAAGACATTCAATATAGGTAATAAAACTTGATAAATAAGAATTTGTGCTATCACATTTTCGATATTGAAATTAAGTGGTATTTGAACCCAGGATGCACTAAGTAGGAAGCACTTGGCACATAGGTTAACAACAGATATATGTAGATCCCAAAATCGGACGTTTCTTTTTTGATTTTGTATAATTGGTTTTAATTGTCAATCGAATAAAATAGCCGTAAGTAAGCTCATAAGTGCGATGACCACTGTACCACATGTTCGTATTCTTTTTATCGTATGATATGTAATTGAGCAAAAGTAAACAAAACGGGTATGCAGGTCAGGTAAGTACTCAGTATTCAAAAATTGCGTTATGGTCGCATTTTTTCATTATTATATAATGTATGAGTCTTGAATTTATTTATTACTCATTTTTTTAATTAATACGGTAATGTAAGTAATTGATGACCCTTCAGTCTTATGATTAGGTAACTTGACTAAAACGCTAAGGGTTCGAATCCCAGTCGTTACTAATATTCGCCCAAAAACACAATTTTTAGTACTCGGTCTAGTTGTTGATTGTTCCCTTGTTTCTGATATTGTAACCTAGTCGTCGTGAATTGATAGAACGTGACAAGAAAGTTATCATTAGAAAATTTAAGCCAATTGCCATGTTTGGAAGACAACAAGGCATTACCGACAATGCAAAATGTAGAGCCTCGCAACACGTAACATTTTATGAATATGTTACACTTTTTTGGACTAGAAATATCGTGTCAATAAAAAAATAATTTTCAAAACCATCACCATTTACAATACTCGTTTATAAGAGCATGCTTCTTGAAATCAGAAATAATAGGTATTTATTTTTTATAAAACTGAAGTAACAAACGAACTCACAGTCCACCTGATGGTAAGTGACTACAGCAGTTCATGGACATCTATCTTCATATAAAGAAGTCCCTAAGGATTAAGACGGAATGCATCATAGCTTGTAATTATATTGGTTCTATATACACTTCAGATCAAGAAGGGACCAGGTTGTTCTCTACGACTCTATATTTCTAGATTTCAAAATATCTAAATTCCATTATTTACATGTAAGTTATTGATGCATTTTAAATGTATTTAGTAGTAATAGTTAGTTTAGTAATAGTTGCACTTTGGCATACCAGTAAAGTATTGAAATTTTTCCTCTGATCGATATAACATTGGGTACTTTTAGACAAAAATGCAGGTTTCGTATTTTTGATTACTTACCATAACACTGTTTATATTACCATATAAAATAGAAAAGTCTACACTCTATCAAAAATTAAGAATAAAATTAAAAAATAAATAAAAATAGCCTTCAAAATCTAAAAGAAAAAATAGTAAATACTTCCACAAAATATCATCTGAAGAAGGTGCTAATACATAGCGTATATAAGAATGGGTTATTCGTCATCTCGCCCGACAAAAACTCGCCCGTTCGGGCGACTTGGCACCTTTCGAATTTACCTAATATTTCTGTCGTCAACTCGCACGCTCGTACAAAGTAGAGCCAGGAAAAAAAATTAAACTAAATTTTAAAAACGACTTCAAATAAAATGACATTGTATTAAATCTTACTCGCCCAACCATAAAAATGTGAGGTAACTTAGTACAGTCTCATACAAAAATCATTTTTAAAAACGTTTAATATATTATGGTTGGACTTTAATAAAACAAAATATTATTATATCATAATTTTAAATATATTTCA